GAAACCAGAAGGAAATAGGAGAGTGGGAAGACCAAGGGTAAGATGGGAAGAATATGTGTGGCAGGACATAAGAATTCTGGGTGTGAAGAACTGGAGGAATGTAGCATTGAATAGAGAAGAATGGCAAGGAATCCTGAGGAAGGCCAGGGCTCACAAAGGGCTGTCATGCCAGTGATGATGATGATCACTATATTCAATGAGAGTAGTCAAAATAGTAGTAACAGCACTAGCAGTAGTAACAGCACTAGCAGTAGTAACAGCACTAGCAGTAGTAACAGCACTAGCAGTAGTAACAGCACTAGCAGTAGTAGGTGGTGGTGAGAGTAGTAGTAGTAGTGTTGGTGATGATAACGGTAGCCATAGCAGCAGCAGTAGTAATGGTAGTGGTAGCAGCAGCAGCAGCAGCAGCAGCAGCAGCAGCAGCAGCAGCAGTAGTAGTAGTAGTAGTAGTAGTAGTAGTAGTAGTAGTAGTAGTAGTACTAGTTGTAGTAAACAAACAAACTCTATGGCTTTAGTCCGCAAGAACTATACCAACTGAGAGACAGCCGCTTGTCACCAAAGACAGCGCAAACTTTATGGACGAAAAATTTTTGAGAGAACTGTCTGCTGGGATTTCATACTATTCTTCTGAAATTTAAGGAATTCAAAAACGTTTTTTTAAATTCGCTTAGTGGGGGGTGGAGTCCAACCGGGTCCACTCGGCAAGGCGGCCACTGATGGCCTATTGTAGCCTGCCCTGGGTGATTATGATGATGGAGAATTTGGTGGAATGAAAATTGGCAGGGGAAACCAAAGTACTCAGAGAAAACCCACCCCAGTGCCACTTTGTCCACCACAAATCCCACTTGACCAGACCCTGGATCAGACCCGGGCCACCATGGTGGAAAGTCAGCAACTAACTGCTTGAGCTATGGCACGGCCAAATTTAAGGAAAGTTCTACCATAATGAGCAGCTCACTTATCACACAAGAAAATTTACTTCCTATCCAGATACATTTTATTCTACATCAGTCCCATAGGAAATTACATACAATTCTTTCAGTTGTTGTCTTAGCTAATTACAATTAGTAATTTAAGTTCTGTGTATTTTATGCAAGCCTACCTGTTATATAACAAGAGCAGGAATAGCTCAGTCATTATAGTGACTAGGCTATGCACTGGGTAATCAAGCAATCAAGATTCAATTCCCAGCAGGGGCAGAGCATTTTCCTCTTCCATAGCGTCCAAACCAGCTCTAGTTCCAGCCAGCATCTTATCCAGTGAGCACTTGGGGGTTCTTTTCAAGGGGTAAATTGGCAGTGGAGTGAAGCTAACTGGAGTGAAGGTAACTTTATCTTTACATTCACTTGCATATAAGTTTCGCCCCCTTTACTGGACTGTAGCACATTTCAAGTAAATAGGTAGCACAGCTACTTTGTATTCACAATATCCAGGGTTCAAATCTCAGTCCAGAAACCAGCTATCCTAACACTGATCATGCTCTTCCTCAGTCCATCGAAGTAAATGCTTCGATAATACCTAAAATTACACCAAAACCACTACCTTCTATATAATTTTCAATTAATTAATTGCCATATAATTTGACAATATATACACTTTGTAGGTTGCATCCTGTTGTGTGTATACATGTAATATACAAATATTCAAACACCTAACTCTCCTATGTCAATCCAAAATAACCACAGGAAGAAAACAAGAAATTACAAGCACATCCTACACAAGCAATAGATTCAGTAAAAATCTACAAACCAGAAAGCAGAAGATAGCACGAAGACCCCCACCAGCACTTCAGCACATGATCATACAGCATTTTTTGTATCACCTATGAACACTAGCTTTCAGACAATTAATACAGCACAGCTACAGCACATTTAAGTATCCTATAGCACAAACATCTAAAATTGATGATGGTACTAAGAACTTTTAACCCATATAATCCATATATTGTGAAACAAATATTTTTTATAGTTTTTTATACTGAAATTTTAAATTGTAACTACTTGTAATAAGCATGACTTTAGGAGGGGTTACCAACCTAGTCATGGTAGTTCATATCATATTGTTGCAGACTGCCAAGGTAATGCTGAGCTCTCCAACACCTCAACTGTTGTGCCTGGTAGGGATTTGTGTTTTTATCGCCTTGTAAACGAAATTTTCTTTTCCTTCTGTAGTTCCCACATACCAAAATTATAGATTCTGCATATCACATCACAGTAATTTTGCTAGCTCTTATTCAAAACTGGATTTCATCTTTCCTTTACATTAATTTTCAAAATTATTCTGTTGCCTACCTAGACTCCTGTTCAGTAGGAATGCTTTTACTGAGATCCTTACTCCATGCCATGTATACATGTTAACAAAATAATACTTTCCTCCAGCGATGAGAGTGCGTGGAAAGGGGGAACATAAAACTGGTTGACCCTGACCATTCTGTTTATTTCAGCACACACTGGGCTTCAGAGCGTCAGTGGTGACATGGAGAATGATCAGAAAACCACGCCAATGTTTTCAGCTTGCACAGCAATCACGAGGGTTACTTGTCTCTCCTTCTCTTCGTTGGAGGATAAAAGGCATACTTTCTTCTAACATTGTAACTTTCTTAGCTTACAGAATAACAAAAATGTGGGTGATTTATATCCAGAATAGGTACTACATTTATCTTTTGTTGCAATCGATTAATAATGTATTGGAGCACTGTTGCGTAAACTTCATCAAGGGGGGGGGGACTGAAATTGTCCCCCTCCCTTCTTTTCGTCATTTTGGAATGCTGCTTTGTGAGGTTTGAGTTGGTACTATGACAATAACTGATTCTGCTAAGACTCGACTTGTTGCTGTTAAACTCACGAGTTCAAGAATATCTTCAGAAAGGCGAGAATACTGCCGGTCTAGGTGGTTTTTGAGGGCAGCCTGGAAGCCTTTCATCAAAGGATGGTCTGGGTCAAGAACCTCTGGGTCGTCAACCTCTCGTTGACAGCGCGAGACACAATCTGGTAATTCAGTAGTCTGTTCATGTGTGAGGACCTTATCGTTATGGTCCAGTCGTGGATCCTGAACTACATTATCTTCGCTATTTTCACCATTTCTTTCCCTTCGAAGTATAACACGGGTGCAAGATTGAGTTGGAATGGCAGGGCTTTCAATCGTCGCCGATTCGGACATACTGTACTGTTTTATATTCAATTCAATTCAATTTTTCGTATAACAGGGAAAACTCGGAACTTTATATACCTAACACACTTGTTTTAAAATTTGTTTGAGTAAAACACGTACGTACATTAACCTAACATGACGCACACTTCAAAACACTTATTTACAAGGTAACCATGCCAACGTAATATTAAATCGCACTTAAACCGATTTAAATCGAAGGAAACCCGAAAGTAACCGATGTAATGCGGACGAAGTCGAGTAAGGACGAGAGGATTGACATTCAGGTAGGTGATCACTTCTAATCGCGGTTAATGGAGTTATTTGCACTAAATTGAGGAGCAATTGAAATACAGGGGCTCAAAACACATCACAATTACGTGATTAGTAGACGCCAATTTTTTTTCAGTTTCTGTATGTTGCATATAACTCTATATTTTACTTTGCAGTGTGAATAATGCGATGATAACGAAGAAGTGCCAGTCAGGTAAACATGAAACTGGTATTAATTTTGGAAAATGACCAAGATGAACATATTTAAATAAAACTAGAATCAAATGCATCAATTTTGATCCACATTTGTGAGATTAAAGCTTCAGCTGGTCGAGTAATACGTTATAGGAAGGTGGCTGATGTATGTGTTACAGGTAAACAATTGTCATGAATTGGCCTCAGGACTATTGAATGTCAAAATTTTGGATGTTATAACAGGGAGTTAACCTATACTATTTCTTATTACAGACACTTAGTGCTGTGCAGAGGTGACTGCTGTACGTGATAAGAATTCCCAGCTTCTACATGAATAACGCCCAGAATTTACTTGACACTGGGCCAGTGAACAGCGACCAATGGGAAACTGTTTCTCTTGTTTCAAGGTCCCTCCGCCACCCGACCCGTCCACAGACCCTCCCTTGGAGAAGGACAAGGAAGGTAACAATTGTGCCATTCAGGATCTGTGTGCTGGAGAAAAGTAATACTGATCCTGCTCTAAAACAGGTGTGCTGTGTTGCAGAGATTATGGAGCTGTGTGGTATTCTACAGCCATCCCAAGAGGTGCACTGCTCACCCCTGACTGCTGTGGAAGCGCAGGTCAATGGGAACAGCAAAGGTGCTGGAGTTCCAGGATTCATGCTGGTTGGGAGTGATAACAGTGGCAGCTTGCATCGAGACAAAACGACTAGGACGTTTTATTCTCGCATCCCTCCATTGGGCCGCTCCACAAGTAGTGGAGGTGATGGGAAAGGCAGGGAACCATCAGAAGCTAAGCTTAATGCTTTGTTCGACCAATACTGTGACTCCAATGAGGATGCAATGCTAGCTGATGGCATTGAGAGGTTATGTGCAGATCTGTCCTTGTCACCAGATGAGTTTAAGGTGTTGGTTCTGGCATGGCGTCTCAGTGCAGAGCAGATGTGCCGTTTCAGTCGAGCGGAGTTTGTGAGCGGGTGTAGGGCAATGCGAGTTGACTCTATCAGGGCAATCCAGGCTCGACTACCAGAGTTGGTAGTTGAAGTAACTAAGGACTCTGAATTGTTCAAGGATCTCTATCGTTTCACATTCAAATTTGGACTGGATGTTGAGTCAGGACAGCGAATCTTACCGTCCGACATGGCTGTCTGTCTGTGGCGACTGGTGTTTTCTGTTAGAGAGCCTCCTATACTTTCTCGTTGGCTGTTCTTCCTGGAGAGTCACCCTCATGTTAAGGGCATCCCACGTGACACATGGAACATGTTCCTGAATTTTTCTGAGGCTGTTGGTGATGATCTGAGCTCATATGATGACACAGAGGCTTGGCCAAGCCTGTTTGACGACTTTGTTGAGTTTGAAAATGACCAGATGAACCAAAACATCTCCAAGGATAAAGATGAAATAATTAAATTAGACTGTAATTAAGACTCTCTGCGTTTGAAATCATAAAATGAAAATGGATCAATAGTTAGTATTTTTTTAATTGTCACAACTAAGACTGATATTCATTCAGGTGTAAAATAGTCTTAATTTTGCCTGTACTTCTCATGCTATTTACTGATAATTTATTTAGATTACTTTTTTAATTTTATGAGAGAAGTACAGATAATGGTATGGCATTGACAAGCTTGCGTGGTGTTCAGTTTGTAGCCAAATGATTCATGCCATTAAGAAACTGCCTGGTACAATTTTAACAAGCTGCATTCTGCAACCTAATATTTATGTTTTAACACTCATATGATTGTGACGTGCAAACAAGGGACGGTTCTTGCCTTCCTCAAGTCAAGCCATAGACTGCCTTACGATATACAGATGTAGGACTTATAGCTGATTTTGTCAAATTCTGTTTGCCATTGTTGCCAAAAGTATGGTTGGATGTAGTACACCCAGACTGCATTATATGAGAATATTAATTTAATTTGAGGTTCAGTGAGACAATGTGATAATGTAAAATTCATTGTGTTCAGTTTCAATCAGGGCAACAAACCTATTGATATGAAAGCTGTTTTTTTTTTGCCCCTCTAAATGGGTATAAAATAGCATGAGTCTGCCGTTCTTTCTGCTTAACAAACCTGTGATTTATTTGAGGATATTTAAAGACATGCTGGTGCCTCATTTTGAGATTGTCAGTAAAAATTATCAGTGATTGTACGTAATGCACCTCATGTAGTAGTTATTCTTCCTGTTTGGGAAAAATAATTGTGACCAGTGGGTGCTAATACTGGTACCTTAATTTATATGGCTGTTCCTATCTGAGATATTTTTGTTTAAAAATTGCAGTGTCAGATTATGAGCAGTTAAATATTGGCATAATAACTGAGTAAGGTTTATTTGTAGGGTCTTGTGTATGTGTTTCCTGATGCTTCTGTCATGACCTGTGTTTAGAAGGAGTGTGAAGGGGGCAGGTGGGCTGTGCTAAAGGTAAAGGCTGATAAAGAAATTCTGGGGTGCATCCATGTTTCAGTACCTGCTCAGTTGTGATGTTACCTAACTCATCTGTAGCTACGAGCCTGAGCAGATCATTTAAACACATGAATTAGTGGATGAGGGTTATGTTTCCTCCTTCACTGTAATGTGCACCTACCCCATTCACATTTCCCTCTTGTCAGTTTGCCATACAGCCAGTTGCAGAAGCTTTATCACAATTTCTCCTTTCACCATATTTGTAGGTAAGGTGTGGGAATCACACCAAAGAGCGGTATGACCAACTGGTAACAAGTGAATGCCTGAGAGTATTGATGTAGCTGGCTGGGAGAAGACATTTGGGATCTGTATCATGGCAGAAATTTCTGGAAATAGCTATGAGGTAAAAAAGATAAAGCTATCCCTGTAATAGGCTGTGGAGGACCATAGGGTTGGGAGATGCTGAGGCTTCCACATTTTTTAGACAATTGGCTCACAGCAGTGAGGTTGTCAGCATTACTTGCCAGCCACCATTTACCCCGAGAAAGATTACTGGTACTCATTACTGTTAGAAACTGAGTCATCCCCAGGGCCATAGTGTGGCTGGAAGGATTAGGTCAGTCGAAAAATCTAATGACCTCAATGGGAGTTGAACACACAACTTTCTGGCTTGTAGCATAGTGCCTCAACCAGCTGTGCTACCGCATATCACCGGAACTAGCTATAATGAATATTGATTTCTGTGTTCGTGATCCTCATTACCACTTGTGTCGGTCATCATTGGATATCGGTAATCATGGTTATATTGTATTCATGCTAAAATGTTACGACAGAGTTCAGCTTTGTGAATCGGTACTTTTTACTAATTGAATGGCCTTTACCTGTATAAAACTTGAATCAGTGTACCATCCATCAGCCCAAACATTAAATCATATCTTGTTAAACGTTTACAAATTGAATAAAACAGCAATAATAATGAAGAGAAGAGAGCATTCGAGGAAGAATTAATTGGTTATATAGCTTCGCATCCTACATTTTTGTTACAAGGCTTACGAAGGTGGTAAGTGCTGATTATCAATTGTTTCATGTTTCATATTAAGATAAGATTCCAGCTTTTATCTGGCACACAGTTTAATCATTATTGGGATGCTGAAGCTGAGACAGGAATTTTCTGCATTATAGCTGCAGTTGTCAGTGTGACTGCCATGAGGCATCAATCAATACTAGGGGCCAACATAAATAGCTTCAACCAGTTTTAAGCCGGAGTTGGCAATAGCAGTTAGACCTCTCCTCTTGTTGAGGAGGAGGTTCCATTTGAAACCACATAAGTGGTCTTGGAACAAATAAATTATGGTTATAGGTCCAAGTGGGGCCCAAAACCAAGAATGACTATCTCATTATTGTTTTCCTTCTCAACACAACTATCAAAATCTCATTCACATTTACTGTATAATGAGCTTATTGGTCTTAATAGTATGACAGTGTGCCACATTTTCAGCTTATAAAGCCATCATCAGGCACTACACATTAACAGATATTTTCAAACTGTTGAATTGCACTTATATGAATTCACATATTACAATATAATAAATGTTATCAATGTATCTGACTTTCCACACAGGTAATACATTCAACACTTTGTCTGAATTAATATAAGTCATAATTGTATTAAAAGTGGGCACATGGTAGCATAGTTGGTCGAGCCACTATGCTACAACCCAGAAGGTCGCTGGTTGAAGTCCCGATGAGGTCATTGGATTTTTTCAATTGACCTAATCCTTCCAGCCGCACTAGGCCCTGGGGTCGACTCAGCCTCTAACAGAAATGAGTACCAAGAATATTCTTGGGGGTAAAGGGTGGCCGGCATGTAAGGCTAACAACCTTGCCGCCATCTATGAGCTGATTGTCTAGAAAATGTGGGAACCTATACGTCTCACAACCCTATGGGCCTCCACGGCCTGTTACAGGGATACCTTTACTTCTACTTTACTTTACTTTTATAAGAGTTCTACCTTAAATGGATGCCTAGAGATGTTTGGAACCAGTTGTTGCTATGTTCTCTAACATTTATTCTGTGTTTTTTGCAGTCTGATCTTCTTTATTTTATTTTTTTTAATGCTAGTGGGGTGGGACTAAGTCCCTTGTACTGCGGCCATTAATGGCCTATTGTACCAGCCCCAGATAATAGCTGAGGGTGATTATGGAGCAATTGGTGGAATGTAGATCTGCAGGGGAAACCGAAGTACTCGGAGAAAACCTGCCCCAGCGCCACTTTATCCACCACAAATCCCACTTGACCAGACCTGGGATCGAACCTGGGCCGCCGCAGCAACTAACCACTTGAGCTATGGCACGGCCTTTATTTTATGGGTTTATCCACCTCTTGTGTTTCTGTATCTGGCTTCATTCTCTGTTAGATTGCAACTGGATACATTGATAATTGTTATTATATTGTAATATATGAATTCATATAAAGTGCAATTCAGTAGTATGAAAATATTTGTTAATGTGTACTGCCCGATGATGGCTTCATAAGGTGAAACATGTAGCACATTGTTATACTATTAAGACTAATAAACTCATAATACACAGCAAATGTGAACGAGATTTTGATAGTTGTGTTGAGATGGAAAGGAATAACAAAGTATAGGTTAATGCAACAGGATGCATTCCTTGAAGATTAAGAATGACTGTGCTGGCAAAGGCCATCAGCTCTCTCTCTCTACCAGTCAGACGATACAATTTTTTTGTTGCTTTTCATTGAAATGTGAATTTTTTTTTGAAGTATGTATAAAGGTTGAGTTCCTACCACACAAAAAACACATTGCATCTCCATTACAAGAACCATCCAGTTAATGCTGTTAAAGGAAATAGTTGATGTTTATTATGAGAACCATATGAAACATAAATATACATTGTGGGCTAAATGTTTTCTACCTTTAAAGAAGGGTTGCATGTAATTATCATTGTACTCTATATGACTAAAACATTTTTTAGGTGAAACTTTCAAGAATCTTACAAATTCTGAATTCTTTGACAGTTCTATCACTTTCCAGTAGCATGTCAACAAGTAAGTGATAACACAAATGCTGAAATCAGTCAGGACTGAGATTCTGACCTTACCTAATAGGCATTTATATTATTTGAATAGTGATTAACCCTTTGAAGCCCAGTGGTTACTATATGTACAACTTACTTTATCACTATAACTGTGAATGCTGCCCACAGAGTGTATTTGTGTGTTCCATATGGTTCTCACAATAAACAGCGTTAACCAGTTGGGAGTTGTCATGGAGATGTAATGTGTTTCCTGTGAGGTATGAACTCATTTGTTAAATATTATTCAGAAGTAAGGGTTAATACTGTTATTTATTGTCTGTATTACAATAGCTGTTATAGATGACCATCTGAAAAGTTTTCATATTTGGAAGATCAAATAGAACATTTAATTCCATATAAGTCTCACCAGGTTTCATGGCAATGTGTAACCTCCAATTATTGTATCTTGGCCCTGTGAGGTCTGCTAGCTATGTGGTGGCATACTATATGCATGACAGACAGACAGATATCATCTTGTTTAAAGCCCTGTTGATACTATTCATTCTGAAAAAATTTCTTCCCCCAACTTCACTTCCATTCTTAAAGAGGCTGTGCCAATTCTGGTTCTGATTCATTAGTAAATAAGTTATATAAAATGAATTTATAACTATAAAATTAAAATAAATACATTAATTCATTATCACAGTAACATACGACAAAATTTATTGCAGTGGGTAGTATTCTTCCTCCACCTGTGCACCACTGTTCCCAGAACTGTAACATACCTCATCCCTTGTTATCCCGAAATTGTAGTGCTGGAGAGAAAAAGAAGCAGACAGTAGTTAATGTTGCAATATTTGAGGTTCTCACAGCAGTGACTTTGAAAGTTACTGTCTTCCAGTATGTGACTATATGTAGTCAGGATTGTACTGACATTTCAGAGGAACTTGCTGCTTCAGTGTCTTTTCTGTCATTGAATCCAGTCCTGAATGTTAGGACACAAATTAAAATTTCAGTCATGAAGAAAATAAGAGCAGATAAAATGGGGGAATGCTTGCTGCAATTCAGTTAAGTATCATCCACTGTCCTCCCATCTGCTACCTGAAAACATAGATGAAAACATACAAAACTCTAACTATGCTTGTAGGAATTGAGCTTCTCATGGAAGTGGTTATGAAGAGTTCCGTCTTCTGGGATATGATGCTGTGCAGTCTGTTTGCCGCCTGCTTCTTGCTGGCTGCTTGCTTGGCCTACTGTTCAGCATGGAAGATGGAGGTGACATGTGTTTCCAAAATGTCATATGACTTTCAGTGGACTACATAGCATTGTATCCTAGAGGACAGAACTCTAATTTATGCCTGTTTTGTATGGGTGTGGAACTTCGACTGTCACGCTGATGGAAGAACATAGTGAGGATGCTAGAGAATAGGGAGTCAAGGTGAGTATCTGGATCTAACAGGGATGAAGTAACAGGATGAGGCAAATTACAAAATGAGGAACTTCATAATTTGTACTTGCCAAATATTACAGTGATCAAATCAAGGAAGATGAGATGGGTGGGACATGTAGCACTCAGAAATGCAGGCAGTGTTTTAATAGGAATGACTGAAGGAAGGAGACAACTTGGAAAACCTAGGCTTAGGTTGGAGACTAATATTAAAATAGATCTTAAAACAATAGAAGGAGAAAGTCTGAGATGGATTTATAAGGCCTAGAACAGGGTCCAGTTGCATGATTTTGAGAACATGGTGATGATCCTTCAGGTTCTCTGAAATGTTTGGAAATTTTGGCTACCTGAACTATTAGCTTCTTAATAATCCGTGCTTAATTAAATGAAGATGTATGGAGGTTGAGGTACAGATCCACACATCTTTAATCTCAAGAGTAGATGCAGTTGGGTGGTCAGTCTCACACCTCAACTTCTGTATTCTTGAAGAAGAAATGCTTGGTATGCAATGGACTGGAGACTGGGTGGCCTCCAGAGCCAATGTGAACACTGTACACATGAGAAATGTTCAAACCCTGCTGGGAATTAAAACCCAGTTCCTCAGTCATCAACCCAGAGTCTTGTTGATATACAGATCTGTTTTAATATTGTGACATGACACCTGAAATGTGAAGTAGCAGAGCCAGAAGAGATGGTCAATATTTCGTGGTCAGCACAGAACCAGAGGGATTTCCATTGTGATGAGAGGTCACCTAGCAATGACTAAGAGGAGGCTCAACACATTGAGAAGACATATATACATTGTGTATATTAGTGAGTGTTGTTATTTATAGTTGGCTTATAAGCGTTCAATAAATCCAATTATTAATCTAAACCCAGTGTCTAGCCACTAGCTCATGACATTTCAAAACATGTGTATGTCTAGGAGAGAATAAAAATCTTGGTCGTGGATCTCGAGGAGACTGAAGGCAGGAATGACTGTGCTGGCAAATGCCAGCAGTAATTTAACCGACGAAAAGCCAACCAAGGGTTTTGAGGAACATGTTGCCGCCATCATCAGGATTGAAGAGTAGGCCTAGCAAAAAGCATCAAGTACGGGTGCACTTGTTTGCTGCCAACTTCTTGCTGGTTTCTTGCCAGCGTTAGTCTTCGGTCCTGAAGATGGTGGATATGCGCCCTCCGAAATGTCGGTGTTAGGTCGTGTGGTATTTTTTTTTAGCAAGGATTATTAAGGATGTGGTATGTTATCTATGAAGTATAGAGATGTAGAGATCATATTTTGATAGGATGAAGGACAGTTTAGACTAGATATAAAGTACTTCGGAAGGGCCAAATAAGACGGGGAAATTTCTCCACATTTATTCCTATCGCTCGAAAAAACAAAAAGTATCTCGGTGGACTACTATATTCAAATTACTAGCATATTCATTAAAAATCTTAATCTTATTGTCATATCAGAATTCATTTTCTAAATTTTACGACTAATTTATCCTATTAATTGGTATAAGAAGTGAAGCACAATAATAATAAAACATCTCAATTGCTAGTGTAACTAATAGTTTGTGTAATGGTTATAGTAGTACCGTTATTGAGTTCTTATGTTGTTTGTGAATTCCTTGTTTTCAGTAAAATCAATACATTTTTATAAGGTAATTATTGATTAATTATTTACATTTATAGTATCTTATGCCTGTTTTATAAAGTAAGTTTGTTTGTGGCTATTACTGACTTGCATATTTTAATACGTAGTGAAGAAAAGGATGTGTTTCTCACAATGTCCGCCAAAGCTACTTGTTCGTATGGTTGAATGATACAGTGGCATATTTGTGAAATGGATTTTGTACTCTTCGTGCAACTGCATTTCATTTAGCTACGTTTTCATTACAGTGATGCATATTCAGTTTCACTAGTCGTTTGTATTAGTTCAGAGCTTGCGTGTTAGAGAAATTCAGACATTGTTACGTAAATCTCCAATCCAACGCAACGTTAGAACCGGGATTCGGCGTGTTTTGTGTGGGGTTTTATTTTACGACGCTGTCAGTATCAAAACTATATACCGCCGATTGTTAGCATAACAGACGAATTGGAGAGGATTTGGAAGGAAGCGATCATGGCATAATGGACTTCCTATCCTGACATTAGCCAAGAAGTACTGAGAAAAACTACGAAGCGCTTAGGATAGCCTGTATCCCAGCTGAAACTTGAACCTAGCACCTTCCGAATACATGTCTAGAGCTTTGCTGTAACATTTGCATGCATGGTGAGCGTTATAGTGAGACAGGATTGCAGAATTGGATGGTATTTATGTCAGAACTTTTATTCTTATGTAGGGCGGTGACTTATTTTATTGCCACACATTACAGAGGGCTGTCCAGATGTATGGGTATAGCATCAGTTGGATTAAATTCCAGTTTATGGAGGCACACAGGAGACCCTGGCCCACATGTACCCCTCCTTTATGATATGTGTTTAAGAGCAGATAAAGTTGGAATATGCTTAACACTGTACAGTTCAGAATCATTTACCCTCCTGACTGTTGTCTGAGCACATAAATATTAAAACATGTGAAACAGATTTTGCCTATAGTTTTGAATGAATGAATATTAAGTGACATTAAGGGAATTTGAATTTATTTATGGACCATAAACCCAAGTGCATGTTGACACCATAGGATATGGAACAAGTCAAGTAGAAATACATAATATCAGTACAATAATAGTTTTGCTTGAAAAGTTAGTAGGATTACAGTACAGTATTAATATTACCATGCTAACTGGATACATACAGCACAGTGTGAAAATAGCAAATAAAGGAACAATGTAGATTCAGGATGTGTGAGGACAGAGTGCTAAGGAGAGTATCTGGTGCTGGGTAAGGATTAAATAATTGGAGACCAAAGAAAGCTGCATAATGTGGAGCTTTATATTTTATGCCACTTGCCAATTGTTAATAAAGTAAGTAAAGCTATCCCTGTAACAGACTGTGGAGGCCCATAGGGTTGTGAGAAGTTGAGGTTCCCACATTTTATAGACAGTCAGCTCATAGATGGCAGTAAGGTTGTCAGCATTATGTGCTGGCCACCCTTTTTTTACCCCCAAGAATATTCCTGGTACTCATTTCTGTTAGAGGCTGAGTTGACCCTATGGCCATAGTGCAGCTGGAAAGATTAGGTATTTGAAAAATCCACTGACCTCATCGGGATTTGATCCCGCGACCTTCCGGCTTGTAGCATAGTGCCTCAACCAACTACGCTACCACATGCCCCTGCCAAGTGTTATTAGGGTGATAAACTCAAGGACAACAGATGGGCAGGGCAGGTAGCTCACATGGGAGAGAAGTGTATACAAAGTTTTGATAGGGAAACATGACAGGGAAGGATAATATTAAAATGAATCATATGGAAGTATGGCACTGAATTCATCTGACTCAAGATAGAGACCAGTGATAGGCTCTTGTGAACACAGTAGTTACCCTTTGGGTCCATTAAGATGATGGGTACTTCTTTCATGGCTGAGCAACTGTTGGCTTCTCAAGAGAGTTCTATTAAGTTGGTTGGTTATATACATCATATCATTTATTGAGTGGCACGGAAGTTGTTTCACGGGCAAGGGAATGGTTTGAGATTAGCCCCAAATCCTTACTTAACGTTAATTTCAGGTTGATGAAAACAAGTCAAAGCTACGAATCACCCTTGAGAATGTAAAGACAGAATATGTCTGTACATTATAAGTTCAAATCAGCACGTGAGTTTGATACTGTAACATTTGATGGTCTTCACATATCCGTGCGGGACTTGAAGAAAGCAATCCTTCATCAGAAGCGGATTGGAAAGAACACAGATTTTGATCTGCAGGTCACTAACGCACAAACTAAAGAAGGTAAAGGTTCTTATGCTAATTGTATATTAAGATGTGCCAGGAGATATAAAACAGATCTTTAAAAGAGCAAGTAGTTCTGTGAGGACGCTATGACACTTTCCTTTAGTTGTTTCATTCCACATCAGGGGTCGGCACCATGTTCCCCTGTCATTCTCCTTTCTGTTCAGTTTGAATACTGTGAGCTTGCCGCATGTTTTTTTTTTTTCTGAATGTTTGAAATTGACATGTACAGTGGATCCCTTTTAACAAGTTTCCCAAGGGACCAAGAAATGTAGATCTTAAGCAGGAGAATTTCTTAAAAGGGTAAGCTTTGGAATGTTTACAGAATTATATTCCTCAGAGGAAAGTAATAGAATTAACATTATGTTCTGTGAACTGAGCTCAAGGGGTGGTGGTTCGAAATCTGGTGTGCTTGTGCCTCTTTCTGGACACATCAATCACCCCCCCCCCCATGCTTTTCCCACAAGTGTCTGATTCACTTTAGAAGTCATGAGACCAATCTCGTAGTAGTGATATGCAGAAAACCGTGGATGCAAGACAAGGAGAGGACAGCATTAGTCTCGTGAGCTTGGAAGCTGCATAGAGTGGTCCTGTCTATCAAACTAGACATGAAAGTGAAAGTGCTGTTATTTGCAAATATAGTACTGGATGCTGGAAGAGGACATTGCAGTGATATGGTGAAATAGTTGTGGATGAAAACAGGCCAACATCAAGGTCTTAAGTGGCTACAGACAGGGAGACAGTGCCTATTCCAAAATATGATGAATGTTTCAGTATTTTTACATTGAATAAGGGTCTAATAAAATTACACTAATTACCCAAACTTTCAGATATATACAAGTTCCTGGTGTCATAGTTAAAGTCAGATGATCTTCTGAAATGTTACTCTTTCTTGTAGAACATATCTAGCAACATCACTTGTTTTACTTATCTCTCAAACAATTTTTAACTAAACTATTCCAGTTCCCAGAGGTTTCTGATGATTGACTCTGGCACTGAGGAAGTGGTGCTGCACACTTGTCTATGAACAGCAGCATCTTGCAGTTTTTGGCTGCCATTCTCTTTCCCACACATTAGGAACTCCATGAGCAGTGCACAAGTTAACCATGTGCTGCTCTTATGTCTGTATGTACATGGCAGGAGCTTCACATGCTTGGAGCACCTTGGCTTCTCTGACTCTCCATTTACCAGGAATGTTGTCTTTTCAGCCCCCCAATATTTGAACATACAAGCAGAGTATTTCTGTAAGATTTGAGGCTTTCACGGCGGTGAATATATTTTTTCTTCTACCCTGAAGATGGAGGCGATACGTTCCTCCGAAACGTCGGTTAACACCACATATACACGGTGCAAAATCCCAGAAGACTGCTTTCTTCAGAGTATTTCTGTTTACTCTTTTGCCCCCATAAGAGCTTCATCTTTGAAAGGATATGTTTTGTTTGGGTGTGGGTTGAGAAACGGCCCAGAGGTGTGCATTAAATGTACACTTTGAATGGTATTCACTTGGAACTGATGGAAGCACTCCCATCTTCAGGCATCTCTGTCCTCTTCAGTTACTCTTTTGGATTCTCTGTGCATGGTTCTGTAGTGAAGCCCTGCACATTTTCTGAATTGATCAAACCATCTAGTTCAAGGTGTGAATTCAGTGTTTAGTTTTATGGTTTTTTCTTCAGCCTTCTAATCTCAACAGTGGACCTTTAATTGTCATGTTTGTATATGCCATGTGATTGACTGTGACTATAGACAGGGTTTGGATTTGTAATCTGATTTATTGAACACTTACAGAACATAACTACAAATAACTATGACAGTCCCACTGAGTTACACCAAAGATCACTGTAGCTACAGCATTCATGATGTGTTCTCAGTTTTCACTAGCCGTTGCTTGGTAGCGGCTTTCAGTGGCGGATGTTCCCCTATCACTGGGTTCTCAAATTGTACCTGGCTTCAGCTACCAGCTTCTCATTTCTCGCAGCTGCAGCTCTTTACTGAACTGCGAGTTCGATATTTAGCTCCGGCATGGACCGCACAGAAAACGTCTCTTCTGTTATTCCATTTTCTCATTGCAGGGGAAAGATGTCCACAGAGCTAATCTCTAGCAATGGCTGTTGTTCTGCTGTCTGTTTACACAATTTATACTTAGCAGTGTGTCTACATGTCACAGTGTGTATAGTGCCCATTTCTGCCTAAAATGCTATGGGAGCACTGGTACATTCTTCTCATATTTAGAAATATTTAATTTTTTCCTGTCCAGCTGAGTAGGTACACATTGTAGAAGCATGCTTTCCATGTTCATCATAATATTATTTGTCGACCCTGGTACGTTTAAGTTCTTCCACAACGTTTGTACCCATCACATGTTTTTGAACGTCCACCTTCTTAATGATTTCCAGTTTCTCAAATGCTGATAATGCCTTACGTTTTATGTTCTTGTAGCTATACATACAGCTGTATGTAATACGTGAGTCAGTCCTCTTCCGTGCAGCATTGTGAAACTTAACGGACACATTCACTATATGTAACCTTGCATGCAGAGAACATGCTACTGAGTTCTGAACACTGTGGCATGTTTGATTTATGAGAATATCTACATTGTTTCTCAGTCGTTCCATTATATGCTTAATAGAGTACAACAAAATTTTTGAAATAGGTAAAATATTTTGGTGTGTGTCTAGGTGGGAAACCGTTTTAGGTATAATTTTCTTAGGTGGGGTCCACTGTAGAGTGTGTACTGGAAAATATTTTACAGTGTAGTCACTGTAGTACCTGAAAATCATTTGATTAGACATAAGGGACATTCATTCCCCGCACGAACTCAGGCCAACAGAATGTGGACTCAAAAACCAAGAACTTGTGCAGACTGGTTCCCTATAGTATTGGCCATACGAGGGGGAACCCAAAAATAACCGGAAACGACCTGTTGCGCGCGCATGCTTTGTAGTTACGAGTTGTGCTGCTAGGTGGTGTTAGCTGGGGGTCTCCCACGACTGTTAGTGAGCTGGCGTCAGTCTGAGTTAAGTGGTTTGTCTGTGGTGCTCTGTTGTGTGCATTCCTGTTTCAACCCTTTGGCGATTAGTGAGATGGCCGACCAGAAGGAACAAAGAGTGTGCGTGAAATTGATGAAGATCGTCGAAAGACCATTGACCAACTTTCTGAGGAAACGAACATCTCATGGAGCACGGTCCAGCGAATTTTAACCGAAGGTTTGCACATGAGACGGGTGTCTGCAAAATTTGTTCCTCGCTTGCTCGGAGATGACCAAAGAGAAAACCGCGTGAATGTTTGCTGCGACTTGAAGAGTGAAGTGCAGTTTTCCCTAACAGAAAGCAAAATTTCACGCACACTCTTTGTTCCTTCTGGTCGGCCATCTCACTAATCGCCAAAGGGTTGAAACAGGAACGCACACAACAGAGCACCAAACCACAAACCACTTAACTCAGACTGACGCCAGCTCACTAACAGTCGCGGGAGACCCCCAGCTAACACCACCTAGCAGCACAACTCGTAACTACAAAGCATGCGCGCGCAACAGGTCGTTTCCGGTTATTTTTGGGTCCCCCTTCGTATAAATCATTTAAGAGCTTCTATGTAATGAGCTGATGATAATCTTGAGCTGCTATAATGGTAAACAGTCGTAATAATTATGTCAAAGTGCTGTGTGAGTTACATATTGGAATAATCCTTCTGTATATATAAAAAAGTTCTGTAAGCATGAGATCATTGTCATTATTAAATTTCCGACATCAGTAGCAATGAATTGTCGAGTATGTTGCACGAAAATAAATTGTGTTGTAGGTCACAAATGGGCAAACAGGTTGTTGTTGATGTGTATTGTGACTATTCTATGAGTATCGATATTTTGATATGGATATGCGAAGTGTAGCATACTGTATAAAGGAGACGGTTTACAATTACAGTCAACTCTCGATTATCCGGGATAATGGTGGGAATGGAAATCACGATTAATCGAAAACCCGGTTAAGACAGATTTTATTAAAAGTAGTACTGTAATACCGTACCTTCATAATACTATAGTCCCACCTGTATTTAAATTTATTCAACCTCATTTTTATGTCATCTCATGGCCTATTTAATACTTTTTTTTTACATTACACTGAAGATGGAATTAGTTATTTCAATCCCAGTCTTCAACAACATCCAACACTTTTCATGAATATTCACACTTAACACTTAAAAAAATTTAATATTGTT